TGTGAGTCCTCAGGTGTGTGTGTTACCTGTGTGAGTCCTCAGGTGTGTGTTACCTGTGTGAGTCCTCAGGTGTGCATGTGTGTTACCTGTGTGAGTCCTCAGGTGTGTGTGTGTGTTACCTGTGTGAGTCCTCAGGTGTGTGTGTGTTACCGGTGTGAGTCCTCAGGTGTGTGTGTGTGTTACCTGTGTGAGTCCTCAGGTGTGTGTGTGTGTTACCTGTGTGAGTCCTCAGGTGTTGCAGCAGTGAGGCCTTCAGCCGGCTGCTGTAGGAGCAGTGAGGACAGGTGAATGGTTTCTCTCCCCCGTGAACGCCCAGGTGACGCCTCAGAGTCAGTTTAGAGGAGAACTTCCTGCTGAGAAGAAATGCCATGACATCACCAGGTCACGTGACTCTGTGCAGTGAGGGATTATGGGTAACGTGGTTACCTGTGGCACAGCGAGCAGCTGAAGCCCGTCTGCTTCCCGCTCTCTGCCGTTAGCTGCTCGCCGTCTCCGTTCGTCCTCCTCGTGGTTTTCCTCGTGGTCTCCATGGTGACCGGCCGTGATGCGGGCCGAGCTCTGCTGGTCTGCCTGAAAACAAACACGCACACAGGCTGTGTTCCGATTGGCTGGTTTTAATCATTTCAGATTCTCTGTAAAACTCCAGTCAGTGTTATGCTGACGACACCCAGCTTTACCTGCCCACCAACCCCAACTCTCCCTCCACCCTCCTCCACCCTCTGCTTAGCTGAACTTCATTCATGGTTTTCCTCCAACTTTCTTAAAGTCAACAGCAACAACTCGGAGCTTCTCCTGGTCGGCTCCAAGTTATCCAGAGCTAACTGTTTTTCTGTTACTATCAAGGACTCGTCAGTTTCTACCTCCCTCTGTGAAACGTTTGGGTGTCATTCTTGACACCATCCTTTAACTCTCACATCAATGATGTCACTCGCTCAGCATATTTCCAACTCCGCCCCTTCTTCACAGCCCCTGCTATCCTCGTCCACAGTCTCGTTACCTGTCGATCGACTACTGTAACTCACTCTTACACAAAGATCCATCAACAAGCTTCAGCGTGTCCAGAACTCTGCTGCCCGCATTATTGCTGGGACTCCCTCTGCCCACCTCCTCCCCACCATCCTGAAGCAGCTTCATGGTTAAACTTCGCATTAAAATACTCTTCTGTACATTTAAAGCAATTCATTCTGTCTCCCCACCACACCTCTCTGATTTGGTACAGATCTCCATCCTGGTGCCTCAGATCCTCCTCTTCCCTTCCTCTCATCGTGTTTCTATGGGGGACTTTTAGTCGCTCTGCCCCTCGACTGCCCCTCCCCCCCGACCTCAGAAACATCACCTCATTCCCTTTTTTTAAAGTCCACCTTGAAAACCCACCTGTTCAACGTCTCCATGCTCTTAAACTTTCTTTTATCATCACGTTTATTTCCTGGTTTTACGCCTGTTTATGTCCTCGGGTGTTTTGAAAGGCGCTTTTAAATAAAATGTATTATTATTATTATTATTATTATTATTACCTGTCAAGAAGCTCCGCCTCCTTCCGCTTTGCACGTCCAATCAGCTGGCTCCTCCATCCATCTGCAGAAAACTGATCAGTGTTAGTGTTCTTATTGATTACTGATCGATGGTTCAGAGCTGGGCACTCACTGTGTTTCCGTGGTTTTTCAGGAGCGCTTCTCAGCGTGCTGTTTTCGAACTTCCTGTGACAGACCGCCACCGCGGTTTTCTTCTTCTTCTCTTCCCGCTCCCTCCTCCTTTTCCTCCTCTGGCTACAGCGGCTCCTCCAATGATGCTCCACCTCCTCCCAACTGTCGGCCGTCCAGTTGCAGCGCACGCAGCCGAAACCGCCGCTGGCACGGTGCGACCTGACATGGACATCAAGCAGCCGCCGCGACGGCAGTTTTAATGGGCAGAGCAGACACAGCAGGCTGGGGGGCGGAGCCTTCACTTTGTTGTTGGCACTGCTGTCATGTGGTTGCGTGAGCTGTGTGGACGGTGAGGAAGGAGGAAGAGGAGGAGCTCTGACTGCAGAGATCCGACACAGCCCAAGGGTCATCAGGTGGGCGGACTGCGCCAACTCCTCCTGGGAGGCGGGGGTGTCGGCCAGAGAGGATAAAGAGCCCCCCTTCAGAGTGAAGATGGAGGAGTCCTCCTCCTGCTCCTCTTCCTCTTCCTCAAAGAGTGTGGTGACCTGCATACAAAACCACAAGATTGAGGTGTGGCTACCAGGTGTAAGGACACCTTCAGAATAAAATAAGATAAATAAATCAAACTTAATTTGAAAAGCTAAATCATAAATAACCGTCTGACTATGAATTTCATATTGTTTCACCTTTTAAAATAAAAGCTCAGAATCATTCTGTTCTCTGTGTGTGTGTGTGGTTATCACCTCACAGGTGTGGGCCACCTGCAGCCCGCCCTCACTGCTGATGTCACAGGTAGCCGGGCTCAGGTTGTCCAGCATGTTGTAGAGCAGGAAGTCCTCATCTTCGTCACTCTGCTTTAGCTGATAGGGTGACGCTCCCTGCTGGAGCCCCGCCTCTGCCCCGTCCAGATAGGCGTTGGGGCGGTGCGTGAGCAGCAGGTGGCTGTTAATGGAGGCTTTGATGCCACAGGTGAACTGACAGAGCTTACAGCGATAAAGCTCCACCAGGAAGGACTCCACTAGCCCCGCCCCCACGCCCTCCACCTCAGCACAGTACAGGCTGGAGCTCACAGCTCCGCCCCCCAACTGCAGGGTCACAGGGCTGATGTCACGGTACCGCTGCTTCACCCACGACATCGCTATGACATCACCATGACATCACGGTGTGAGGTCCGTCCTTTGGCCCTGCTGGGACACAGTCAGTGTAAACAGGATTTATCTCAAAAAAACGCCTGAATTCAAACACTGACCAATCAGAGCGCAGCAGAACCGAACATCTGTCCGGATATCAGCAGCAGGCTTCGTTATTCTACTTTATTCCACAGTCCAAGTACTCTGACTACTCTGAGTACTTAGAGTACCAACCCCTCTGCTTGATGACGAAACGTACGTTAAGCGGAATGATTGGCTGATCTAGGGCAGCGCGTTCGCCGTCCGCTTTAGCTAGGCTCGCGCGGGAAGTGCAAAGACGCGGAGAAGGCTAGCAGGCTAACGGCTAACAGTGTTTCAGAGCAGGAGCGGATCGATACGTCACTAATAGATCAATAAATGAGCTCCCAGGTGAGACGGCGGAGCGTCTC